GCAATATTTCCTTTTTTCCCACAATTATAAATTAAAATCATATTTTTATTAAATAATCAAAATTACCCTTGTTCTATTTCTTTTGTTCTTCCTATCTTGTAGTTCATTGTTTTACAAGAAAATGAACTCACTTTTCCCTAAAATCATTCACTTACATCCCTCTTACATGGCTATCCTTTAAATGGGTTCACCACTTATGACTTGTCTTTCCAAAATAGCAGAAAATTAATAGGTAAGTGCAAAGGGAGAAATCTAAAATACACATTTAAATTTAGGTACCACTTTTCTTTTTCCTGCAGCTGTTTCTTTTAATGTAGAACAACACTCTTTGAGTTGTATATTCATTCTTCAGAAACCCACAGAACCTTATAGCAAACCTGTCCTAACTTAGTTCTTTGGTACTAAAAATCATTATTTAAACTTCTCTGGCAAATAATTTCTTAAAATTCACTAACATATTTACTAAATAAAAAAACAAGAAACTTAAAAAACTTATTGGCATGCACAGATGCTCTTGCTGAGTGAGTACCTCCTGTTCAGAGTGAAGAGGGAACATGATGATAGCTTAGATCTTTTAGGTTAAACAAAGTGCACTGGTATTTGAGGATATATATATACACATATACTTTTTCCACTCAGTGGCACAATTCACCATTCATAACCTAACTTCTAGTTAGATAACATTTTTGATAAAGCAATATATATATTTTTTAATCTATTCTCACATGATTCTTTCATGGACCTTTTAGGTAGAGTTAAAAGGAAGACACAGCTGTCTACACCTGAGGGGGCAGTTGGCCCTGCTCAGAGAAGGGCCATTAAGAGCACACACATGTGCTTGGATTTTAATCCTTAGTATGTGACTGCTTAAAAGAAGGGAGCTTCAAAAATGAAAGTCCAAAAATCATTAAAATCACTGCTTTCATATTTCATCTCTAAACTGAGAAAAATAAAGATTATTTGGAATATATTTTGGAAGTTAAGGGTGTGTTTTTCCTTTAATGGAGTTTAGATTTTTTCCCTTTATTTTCCAAGGAGACCATAGGCAGTTGATTTAGCTGAAGTTAGCCAGAGAAGAAATATTATTCACAAATAATTATTTTACCTTTTCAGTAACAAAAGTATTTTGAATTTTTATTGGGCATATCATGGTTTATGATTTTATTAGTACAGTTCTAGGTAAATTTTCTATTATAGAACTCAGCACTTTTATAAAACACAATTTCATGTTTATTTCATATTGAAAGCATAACCTCTGTGAGTAAAAGTAGAGGAAAGTTGGTTTTCTATTAGTTTCTGCCTTGGGCTTTATCAAATTGGACCTTTCTCATTAGAGTTTTATAATCAATTCTGTTATGACATCATTATTAAGTGTCTTACATTATAATCTCAATCTCCTAGCCAGCCATTTTTTGTTTCGGGCATTTACATTTCTGATGGGGCATATATTCATGTGGGATAGAAGCATGAATAAAAAATGTCTTTAACTTTTGAAAAAGTTAATATAGACATTATAAGTCAGAGGCATTTATAACCAAATTAAAGAGAATTGAGAACTTTAAAATTTCTTAGCTGTATGGAGATTATATTTTCTTCTACTAGGGTAACGAACAAAGACATTATTTTCAGAGATGAATGTAGACAACACTTCTACATTCAAAAAAATGAACTTTTTAACATGAACATTTATTTTGCATTACTGATTGCAGATGATGTTTATTAAAATTTAAAATTAAGAAATCTAAGAAGACTGTAGACAATCTTGTTCTCATTCATCACACATAATTTCTTTGATTTTGGGATTTGAATTTTTCTTCTAGAATTTTATAAAACTGATGTGTTTTAAATAAATCATTTGGGTTTTTAATGTCTGAAGGGGAGAGTGCTTAGCATGAAAAGGCATGTTTATAGTTATTTGTTTCATTATTGTTACTGTTGTGAATTTTGAAACTAAATATTTCCAAAACATTTAGCTCATAATATAGCTTAGGTTATTTTAAAATTTGGTAATTTTTTGTTGAAGTGAAAAGTTTTATTTTCCCTTGTTATTAGATGAATGTGCATTTTTAAAAAAATCTTGACAGATTAAAATTTCTCTGCTTCTTCTAATTTCTCACAAGCTTAAATAGTCATTTCAGTTCATGTTTACAGATTTACTGTATCTGCTTCCCCTTTCTACCTCAGACATTTTACAAGGTCCACTTACATGCTGTTGTCAAAGTCTTTCTGTACATTTTAAATCTTTAAAGTTTTGTAGATCAGAGATTTAATCATCAACTATATATGTAAAGCCTTGTATTTCTATGGATTTTTATGATGTCAAATTCTCTTAAATATTTAAAATACCAAAACAAAACCTAAATTGTCACAATGATTATTATAGCAGATTACTCAAATATACTTCACCCTCATCAGGTCTACCTTTATTGTACTAAAAAAAAAAATCACTGCCATCAAATTGATTTCGACTCACAGTGACCCCCATTGGGTTGCCAAGGCTGTAAATTTTTATGGAAGAAGATTGCTCCATCTGTCTTCCACATAGTGGTTGGTGGGTTTGAACCACAGACCTTTTGGTTAGTAGCCAAATGCCTTAACCATGTAGCAGCAGAGCTCCTTTTACCCTACTAAGGGGAGCGAATTAACTTCTCCAGCCCCTTCTCCGAGCCACCAGCCAGCCACCAGCCAGCAACCAGCTCTACAGTCATACAACTGAGGAAATTGACCTCTCTGTCAATCTCTAAAGACAGGAAAATTTCTCTTTTGTTTATCATCTCATCTATAGATCTTTAAATGTCCCTTTTGGAATGAAATCTTCATGTAAGCTTAATCTTTAAAAAATCAATTTAAATTATGCTTTTAAATTTAGACAAAAAGTTAAAAAAAAATCTAGACTAAGAAAAGCAACTGTTCTAAGTACACAGTGAAATCTGTTGGTGTTCAGTTGGTTTTATTTTTACCTTTTCATTGTGATTTGGGTGAAAGTTTGCAGATATTGATTTTCCATTTGACAGTTCATACACATTTTGTTTTGTGAAATTGATTGCAATCCCCACAGTGCCACAGTACTCATCTCACCTCCTCCCTGTGGTTACCATTTCCCTTTGTCCTTCTTTCCTATCCATTTTTGCTTCTGACCTTTATCCTTGGGCAGATGCTGCCCTTTTGATGTGGTTGATTGTTCTAAGAAGTGCTTATCTCCTTGGTGTTATTGTTCACCTCATATGTCTGTCTATTATTTGGGTGAAAGTTGAGACACAAGAATGAGTTCAGTTCTAGGCCTAAAGGATGACTAAGGGCCATAGTTTCAAGGAGCTCCATCAGTCTCTTTCCAACTAGTGAGCCTGTTCTTTATAATGATTTTGAGTTTTGTTCCACGTTTTTCTCCCACTCTATCCAGGATCTCCAATTTTGATCCCTTTCAGAGTGGTTGGCAGTGGTAGCTGGGCACCATCTAGTTCTTCTGGTCTCAGGGTCATGGAGGCTGATGTTCATGTGGTCCAGTAGGTCCTTGGTGTAATTATTTCCATGTGTCCTTGATTTACTTCATTCTTCTCTGCTCAGGATGAGGAGAGAACAGTAGTTTCCCACTCAAGAGCTTTTAAGATCCCAATCACTACTCACCAAAGTAGAGTGTAGAACAATGTCTTTGTGTACTATGTTATGCCAGTTGACCTTAATATCCCCTGCAGCTATGATCCTGAGCCTGCAGGTCCAGCAACTCACCCCTTCAAGATCTTTGGTTGTGGCTAAGAAGTTATCCTAACTTTTCCCCCTGTTAGCACTACTGTATGTATGGACATTTTTACACCATATACAAATACAAATGCAAAAATATCATCTGCCTATCCTGTATGCAAGGAGCTCTGGTAGCATAGTGGCTAAAAGCACTTGACTGCTAACCAGAAGGCTGGCGGTTCAAACCCACCAGCCACTCCTCGGAAGGAAGGTTGGGCAATCCTACTTCCGTAGTGATACTGCCTTGGAAACCCAAGGAGGGGTCGCTATGAGTCGGGGGTCGACTCGACGGCACATAACAACAACAACAACAATCCTGTATGCATATTCATGGGTATACTCCTGTTTGCCTACCCATACCCAGTTATCTTGTCTGTCTCTGCCTATGTAATAATAATGTTTATTATTACCATTAATGCAGTATTGTATATAATAAGGAGCTCTGGTGGGATAGTGCCTAAGGCATTTGACTGCTAACCAGAAGGTTGGTGGTTCAAACCCACCAACCACTCCATGGAGGGAAGACTGGACAATCTTCTTCTGTAAAGATTTACCACTTCAGACACCCCAAAGGGGGTCACTTTGAGTCAGAATCAACTCAATGACATATGTTGTAATAGTGTTTACCTTTGTTGTCTATAACTCTTATGCATCTCTCCATGTCTCCCTTTTCCTGTACTGTGCTGGTCACCCACTTTTGGTATATTGCCTTTCCCTTCACCAAATCAATATGTGGCTCCTACCTAGCTAGCAGTCTGCCCCCTTATTCCTGGTAACCATCAAAGAATGTTTCTTTCTGTGTGTAAACCTTTCCTTGACTTTTTATGATAGTATACTCATGCAATATTTAATCTTTTGTGATTGACCTGTTTTACTCAGCATAATTGTCCTCTAAGTTCATCTATGTTATGAGGTGTTTCTTGGATTCTTTGTTATTCTTTATTATTGCATAGTATACCATTGTGTGTGTATATGTCATAGTTTATTTATCCCACTGATCCATTGATAAGCCCTTAGGTTGTTTCCATCTCTTTCCTATCATGAACAGTGCTGCAGTGAACATAGGTGCATGTATCTATCAGCTCTGACTACCTTAGGATATATACTTGTAGTTGGATTGCTGGATTAAATGATATTTTCTAAGTTTAAAAAGGCATCACTAAACTGTTTTCCACAGTGGTTGTTCCATTTTACAGTCAATGGTGTTCAGTTTTAATCTTCATTCACAACTGTCATTTTTTTTTCTTTAATAATGTTTATAGAAAAGAAGAGAAGAAGTTTGGAACTGATTCCTCTTACTGCTAGGATGGTGATGGCCCACCTGGTGAACCACCTTGGACATTACCCCCTCAATGGGGGCCCTGCCATGCTTCACAGCCTCATCAGTGAGAACCATGATAACACCCATGTAGACTCCTCTGAGTTGTCCTCTGAGGTGTTCAGGAGCCCAAACCTGCAGCTGTTTGTATTTAATGACAGCACCCTCATATCGTATCTTCAGATACCCACAGAGAAATCAGCAAGCAGCCCACCAGTGGCTGCCCTCTCTGATGTGAGAGTAATTATGAGGGATATCTCAGGGAAGTACTCTTGGGATGGTAAAATTCTATATGGACCTTTAGAAGACTGCTTTGCTCCCAATGGAAGAAATCCTTCATTTCTTATTTCAGGCTGGCATCAGCAAACATTGAGACCTCAGAAAGACTTTTCTCAAATTGAAGAAGGAGAAGATGTCCTTGACAAATTACTTGAAAACATTGGCCACACAAGTCCTGAGTGCCTTCTATCATCACAGCTAAATCTAAATGAGCCTTCCCCATCCCCATGCGGAATGAGCCATGACCAAGAGAAGGAAATCATTGAGGCCATTTTGCGCCAAGACGCACAAGAAGATGAGTATATTCAGGGATCTAACTCTGACTCTGCTATGAGAGTCACTAGTCAGGGTCAGCCCATGCCAATGGAGCCACAAGGACCCTTCTATTTCTGCAGGTTGCTGCTTAATGACTTGGGAATGAATTCTTGGGACAGAAGGTAATGATCCACTGTAGTCCTTCAGTTATTTTATTGTTGTTTTCATGTGATTGTTCTTTTACTAATTTGGGTCTAGGGAAACAGAGAATGGAAATGAAGATTTTCTCTGTTTGAACATTTACAACTTGTTTTCTGCTGCTAAATTAAAGTTAAGGCTGAAACTAATTATGCTCTACTGATGCACAGATTGAAATCCAAATATCTGTTGTATATTTTAAAGGGTATTAAGCATTTTTTTTTAATTCTGCTTCATCCATTATTGTTTCTACCTTCATACAAGGTGCTAATGGACTACACAGATTAATAAGCCATATTTCCACCTTACATCTGATGAGAGAAGTAGGCTTGATATAACTTTTTTGAAAGATACAGTGGTACAAGAGTTCAAGGTACTGACTGAATTCAATGGGGAGTGGTGGAACAGCATGGATTTGAACTAGAGTGGACTTTTAAGGACAGAGATGTTGTTTTGGTTACCTAGTGCCGCTCTGACAGGAATAGATGCCACAAATGGGGTAGCTTGAACAAATAGAAGTTTATTCTCTCACAGTTTGGAGCTTCAAGTCTGAGTTCAGGGTGCCAGGCTCTAGGAGCTGAGTGAAAGCCCCTCAACCATGGGCTTCAGTTCTGCCTCCTGCTCCTGGCCCACTGAAGCTGGAGGCTTTTCTTTACTCAGCTTCTGGCTGCTAAGGCTGACAAACCCAAGGTCAACAAGTAACAAGGCACAGTCCTGATACTACCAAACCACAGAGCAGATCATTAATTCAATTCCATTAAAAGTCCCAAGATAGGCAGAGCATGGTAGGCCACCAAACAATGACATAGCTACATGCAGGGTTCAAGCATGCCATAGGCTAGAGACAATTCCCAAGCCTTCTTCTTATATACAGGAAGCAGACCATATCCCTAAGGCAGCTACTCAGCTGCTCACAGTAGATTCCACCATGGAGTTGATTGCCAGTCTTATCATGGAGAATACTACATCCAGCTGCCCAGCCACTCAGCCAGGCCTAGCCAAGTTGACACACAACTTAACTACCACAATTCTACCCCTTGTCAACTTGGCATCTGTACAGAACTCCTTCACTGGATGACTCTAATGCCCTACTTCCTGAGTGGCGACCTCACCCCCTTGGACTGGTGGGCCCCGTTCCTCTACCTTTTGGGCATGGTAGCCCTGACCCCTCACTCTTGGGCAGCAGCTATGGCTCCATCCCACTGGCCCACATGAACGAGCAGCCCCACACTCCAGAACCAAAGTCTAACTCCTTGAAACCTAGGGGGCTATGGTGGTTCTATCCCCAAAGGCCTGTTCCTACCCTTGTGGCGGAGGCAGCTCTGCTTCCATTTCCTTGGTCTATCTGCTTCTGCCAATTAATGCCTGAGGGCAGTCTACTCCACCAGGAATCTTCCTGCCCAAAGGACACTTAGCTTTCTTGCTCTATGGGCCGACCAACCTGCTACTCCAATTCATGCCAGTCTCTCCTACCAATTAATCCCTGAAGGCAATCCACTCTGCCAGGAAGCCACCTACCCAATGGCATCTAGCTTTCTCCTCCATGGGCTGGTAAGGCTATAGCTGTCTCATGCCATTCTCTTGGCTCTGCTTCTGCTGTCTCTCATTCCAGTCTCTCAGCTCTGCTACTGTGGTCTCTGATGCCACATAGTGGGGTCTCTCTGCCGAGGTCTCAGATCAAGGACGCACTCCACTCCTGTTACTGCATTTTAGGTATCTGTCAGACCAGCATTCCATTCTCTCGGTACCATATTCTGTTTTGGTTACCTAGTGCCACTCTGACAAGAATATGTACCACAAATGGGGTGACTTGAACAAACAGGAGTTCATTCTCTTACAGACAATTTGGAGGCTTTAAGTCTGAGTTCAAAGTTCCAGGCTGTAGGGGCTGGATGAAAGCCCCTTTTGATATCTAAAATGTGGAAACAGGAGTGGAGTGCGTCCTTGACCTGAGACCCTGACAGAGAGACCCCAGAATGCAGCATGAGAGAGAGCAGGAGCAGAGCCAAGAGACTGGCATGAGATACAGCAGGAGCAGAGCCAAGAGAACTGGCCTAAGACAGCAACAGCCTTACCAGCCCACGGAGGAGAAGGCTGGATGCCTTTGGGTAGGCAGCTTCCTGGCAGAGTGGGTTGCCCTCAGATGTTAATTGGTAGTAGAGACTGGCATGGAATGGAGCAGCATGTTGGCTGGCCCACAGAGCAAGAAAACAGTGCTTTTTGGGCAGGAAGATTTCCTACAGAGTGGGTTGCCTTCGGCATTAATCAGCACAAGCAGAGAGACCAAGGAAATGGGAAGCAGAGCAGCCTCAGCTTCAAGGGTAGGACCATGGCCTTTAGGGGTGGAACGACCATAGCCCTCTAAGTTTCAAGGAGTTAGACCTTCACCAACTTGGTTCTGGAGTGTGGGGCTGCTCATTCATGTGGGCCAGTGGGATGGAGCCATAGCTGCTGCCTAAGAGAGAGGGGGCAGAGCTACCATGCCCAAGAGGTAGAGGAACGGGGCCCACCAGTCCAAGGGGGAGGTCTCCACTCAGGAACTAAGGGATTAGAGCCACTTAATGAAGAAGATCTGTATGGATGCCACCCATTCAAGATCTGTACAGGTGCCAAGTTGACAGGGGGTGGAATTGTGGTAGTTTAGTTTGTGTGTCAACTTGGCTAGGCCTGGTTGAGTGGCTGGGCAGCTGGATGTAGTATTCCTAATGATGAGACTGGTAATCATCTCCATAGTGGAATCTACTGTGAGCAACTTGGGAATGGTTGAGGGGTGTTTTGGTTACCTAATGCTGCTCTGAGAGGATTATACCACAAATGGAATAGCTTGAACAAACAGGAGTTTATTCTCTCACAATTTTATAGGCTTTAAGTCTGAGTTCAAAGTGCCAGACTCTAGGGGCTGGATGAAAGCCCTCAACCTTGGGCTTCAGCTCTGCCTCCTGCTCCTGGCCCACTGAAGCTGGAGGCTTTTCTTCACACAGACAGCTGCTTGCTGCTGAGGCTGACAAGCCCAAAGTTGACAAGTAAAAAGGCACAGCGGTATCACCAAACCACACAGGCCATTAATTCAAGTCCATTAAAAGTTCCAGGATCGGCAGAGCATGGCAAGCTGCTGAACAATGACATGGGTACATGCAGGGTTTAAGTGTGCCATAAGTGAGAGACCATTCCCCAAGGCTTCTCCTTATATACAGGAAGCAGACCATATCCCTCAGACAGCTGCTCACGTAGATTTTACCATGGAGTTGATTACCAGTGTCATCATGGGGAGTACTACATCCAGCTGCCCAGCCACTCAACCAGGCCAAGCCAAGTTGACACACAACCTTAATTACCATAGATGGGTAAAAGAGATTCACAGCAGGGCTGACAGGAAAAACAGGCACAGATAAAAACATTCAGTCACGCATCTGTTGACCACAGAGCCCTCCAATGTCACTGGAGAGTGAAGGGATACAGTGGAATTTTGATGCCTTTTGAATGTTTTAAGGAGGCTGGTGTTCATTCTGTAGGCTTCTATCTCGAATCTGGAGTGAATGATGTGAGCAATAGATGTATAAATGGATGATAACCTACTTATAGGTAGGTTTGTTCATTGATTAGAAATGGGCAAGATTGGTCTGTGATCCATGGTTTTTCTTTCATGCTTTTTTCTTTACAGGAAGAACTTTCATCTGTTGAAGAAAAATTCAAAATTATTAAGAGAGCTAAAAAATTTGGATTCCCGTCAGTGGTATGTGAAAGTATATTAAACTACTTTATTCCTGTCTCTATGTTCTTGGATAACAAATAGAGCTACAGGAATGAATATGCCTAGAGAGCCACTTAAGAGTAGTTGTGTAACCTTTGATAAGTGAATTGATATATTCTGTGAGAATTCCCAGATATGTAGTAGAGCTGACAAGGCAAGTTGTAGTCACTTCTTGGCCACAGCCAGCTTCCCAGAGGGAGTGAATAGTTGAACCTTTGGGCTCGAGACCATAGTTACAGGGGATGTCAAGCTTAATTGGCATAACATACTACATAAAACATTGTTCCACCTCCTCCTTTGGCGAGTAGTGACTGGGATCTTAAAAGCTTGCAATCAGCCATCTAGGTGCAGCGAAGGGTCTCTCCTCATCCAGAGCAAAGAAGAATGAAGCAAACCAAAGACACATGGAAACAATTAGTCCAAGCACCTGGTATACCATGCGATCCGCAGCCTATACGACTATGAGACCAGAAGAACTAGATGGTGCCCAGCTACTACACTCAACCATTTGGAGGGGGATCTATGTAGGAGATCCTGGTTAGAATGGAAGAACAATGTGGAGCAAAACTCAAAATCATTTAAAAGAAAAAAAAAAAGGAACCAGGTTTGCTGCTTTGATAGAGCCTGATAGAACCACTGAGACTGGCCCCTAGCTGCCCTTCAGGTCTGGAATGGAACACACTCCTGTGGCTTCCACCCAGACAGAAGACAGGCATATGAGGTGAACATTTACCTGAGGTAGATACACTCCTTGGAGAGAAAAATCATGGGAGGATTGAAGAGCTCTGTATGCACAGGGAGACAGCTTGGGGGGCAGGAGTACATGGAAGGAAGGACCCAGGGAAGAGATAACTTTGGGGAGGAATTGGGAAGGGAGCTGTTGCATTGTGGTAAATTGTAGTCAATGTCATGGGGCAAAGTGTATGTGAGCTGCTGTATGGAAAGTGAATTTGCTCTGTAAACTTTCACCCAAATCACAATTTTTAAAACAGAAAGAGTAGTTCTGTACCCTAGAATCTTAAATTAGCACATATCATGCCTTTGATATTTTTACCCTTAAATAATAAACTTTCATGTTTGCTACACTAAGAGGAAGTCAGTATTCCCACCTAATAATATGCCTTTTATCATCTTCCTATATGGCAGACAGTTGACATATATTCTCATTTAATCTTTGCAACAATCTCTTTTCCACATGAGGAAACAGAGACTTACCTAGGTTACATAACCTGCTTATGGTCCCTCATCACATTCAGGGACAAATGATTTGGATCAACCAAGTGAGTCTGACTGTATAACCCATGCTGAGCACCAATGCATTAGCATTCTGTAGTCTTTGTTTTATATTGGAAAAGTTAAAACCAGCATGTTTTAATTAATAAATCTCTATTAGTAAGCCAAATTAATTCTATATTATAATTCTCCAAAGCTGGTCAAATTCTAAAATCTACGCCTTTTCCATACAATGTCAGAAGAGATTCTAAAGATGAGGTCACAGCCCTGAAAAGTTTGATTTGGGAGAATGCATGCTTCCAGAACCTTCTAACTGAAGAGTAAATGTAGCAATTGGTACATAATAGGTGCTTTGAAAGTCTTGGAAGAGAGAAATTGTTTCAGTTTTTTAAAATATTGAAAAAAAATAACAAAAAACTGCTTCCTCCCCCTCTTCCTTAGCATATTGGTCTAATATTGTATCTGCTCTGAAGTGAAAAATTCAGAAAATCTTCCTCAGGTTTATTGTTTAACTCTTCACACTGCATTTAAAGTATATATAAGTGTATTTTATTCACTACATTTTACTAACCCCTTTTTTAATTCATAAAGTTTTTAGTAAATTTTGAGCTATAAGTTTTGTTTTTATTTTTCTGCAAAGACTCATGTGATAGAAGGGACTTTTATTATATTTAAAGAGAATTCATACAATCATTGATTATATAGAGTCATTTCTCAATGCTCTTTTCTTTCCACTTAAGAAATTAGACTACACCGTGATGAGAAGAATAACGCTGAAACAAGATTGTTGGCTCATCCTCTAGGGTACAAATACAAACTGAATTATTTGACATTTTATTGAATGCAAAGCAAGATGAAGTGTCTTTGCATTTGTTGTACACAGACGAAGCAGAAGCCCTGGGAGGGGAAGACTGTACAGCTTTCCTTGGAGGGGAAGATATGAGCCCCTCTAGCCCCATCTTGTCATGAGAAGATTAACCCATGTTTTTTCTGTTGCCATAACCCTTAGGATGGGTGTCTTTCAGTCATCCCACTCCTGGTCTGTCTGTACTGTTTTCTCATCATCCTCTTCCTCCTTTTGTTCCTGATCTTTCTGTTGCTGAGCTGATTTTTTTAAACTCTGCTGCTGTTGTCTTGGTTATTCCCTTGTCCATATTTCCAGTGCTGCTCATACCAGTCATTCACTGTTAGAGTTGCCAGGCTTGGATAACCAGCTCCAAATACCTTGACGTGGGCCATGTCCCAGATGAGAATGATATGTTTCACTGGTGGCCTTTCTTGATGGGATGAGTGAGAAGTTGAAGCCTCTTTTGAGAAGTCTTTCTCTCAGACTCTTTATCTCTTGGCCAATGCTCTCAATCTCTTCCAAGCTAATACCAGTCCACCTCCAAAGGTGAAGGAGATAATATTCATGAACATGCTCATCATTTTCTTGGCCACTTTCCACAGCAGACTTGGTGCCATTACTATCATGTGGCAGAGTTTGAGCTGCCCAAAACCAAGAACAACTCAGCTGAAAATAACACTGCTAGCTCCTCCATGGCCTATCCTAACCTCATTAATAAGCCATCTCAAAGACAAGCTAAAGTAGAGACATACAAGCAGAAGAAGGAAATGGAGCAAAGATTGTCTGCATAGAACTATATGTTTTGAAAGGCTAGTGCAGTTACTGGCTAGATTGAGTCTTTAGATTGTTGCTAGGATTGAATAAAATGGAAAATGGATGAGGAAGCAAGGAGGAAGAAATGAAATAACAAGTCTTGCTTGAACCCAATATGCCTTGAGAGGTCCTGTCCTAGAACTTGGGGAAAATACTAGCGTTCTCTGTTTCCTTCATTCAGCAGTCAGTCAGTCAGTCATTTATCTACTGTCATGCTTCCATTTTCAGGTACTTTATTCCTTTACTTAACACTTATTTTGCTGAGTTATGTACTGACTGAAAAAATATTTTTATCATCATAAGTATTTAGGTATCTTTGTTGTGATTTTTGTTGTTTATTTTTTAATTTTGAGCAAAACTCAAAAGGTGACACATCCTTAAAGTTCACTTTCAAGAAAAAGTGATTCATGTCACTATGATTTACCTATCATGTTCATCCTCTTACTCTTTTGGTGGTCTGAATTTTTGAACAGGCTGTAAACACAATAATCAATAAACTCTAACTGCCATTTCTTTTATATGCTTTTTTTCTTACAAAAATCCTTTTGTTATGTTCCTAAGGACAAAGCAGATACAACCATATTAAGCTTACATGTTTCCTCGCACTCCTTCAAAACCATCTAGTGTTAAGATGGATTTGTTTATATTAGCTACTATATGGGAATCATAGGTTTTCTTTATTTTTTCTTTTGTCTTCTTCACTTTTCGGAGTTCCCACGTATCTTCCTTGTCACTCAGGACTTCTTAGAGCTTCTTATAGTTACACATACATTCAGGCATGAACTATTTTGTGTATATTTTCCAAGTCTTGGTAATGTGCTGGTATGGGTCTTCCAAACCAGGTTCCCTCTGCAGAAAGGATATGAGGTCTTTTTCTTCTAGATGACTTTGTTGCTCTTGTGTAGGGTGGTAAATATTTTAGTATCATGAAATTCACAAGGATTAAGAAAGAGGTAGGACTAAAAAGTCCATTCATAATTGTGCCTACAAAAAGGAACCATCCTCTAGTCAGAGGCCGGCAACTCCATTGTCATTTTAAATGTCCTTACATCTTTAATATTGAATTTGTCAAGGATTTCATTTTATTTGAATCCACAATCAACACCCATGGAAGCAGCAGTTAAGAAATCAAAAAACTTATTGCATTGGGCAAATCTGAGCAAAAGACCTTTTTAAAGTGTTAAAAAGTGAAGATGTTTCTTTGAGGACTAGAGTGCACGTGACCTGAGACGTGGTATCTTCAGTTGTCTCATATGCATGTGATAGCTGGACAGTGAATTGGGAAGACCAAAAAAGAATTGATGCCTTTGAATTATGGTATTGGTGAAGAATATTGACTATACCATGGACTGCCAGAAGCAAGAGCAAATCTGTCTTGGAAAAAGTACAGCCAGAATACTCCTTAGAAGTGAAGATGGCAAGACTTCATTTCATGTACTTTGGACATACTATCAGAAGGGACCACTCCCTGGAGAAGGACATTACAGTTGGAAAATAGATGGTCAGCAAAAAGAAGCAGAACCTCAATGAGATGGATTGAGTCAGTGGCTGCAACAACGGACTCAAGCATAGCAGTAATTGTGAGGATGATGCTGGGTTGCTATGAGTCACCAACTCAATGGCACCTAACAACAAACCACATTTTTTGATACTCAAGTGAAGCTTATGGTAAGCTATGAATCTACAGATTTGAGTTTAAAGAATTAAAATAAAACTCATTGGAAGTGAAAAGCATAAAACAGTTATACCTCACATTGCCCATCCTCAGATTTGATTTCCCAATTACTGTTATATTTCTGCTTCTCTAGAAGAACAGAGACTGTTGAAATTCTGTGAACGATTTCTTCTGAAGGACTCTGGGATTCATTTCCTCTTCCTTTTGCCCTGGGCAGCACAAACAGTTAAGGACTTATTTACTGGCATAAAGGTTGATGGTTTGAACCTGTTATAGAAGAGGATCAGAGATTTTTTTTATTGGACTCAACAGATCCTTGCCTATCTCTACTAAGAACAGTTGAGACTGAAAAAAGTTTCTCAGGCAGGTTCCTTTATTTTTATTTAGCAAGTGAAAATGGAGACAGTGTGGGCT